GTTATGCGGCCCGCGCTCGTCATTCTCTCAGTTATCTGGCCCGCTGTGAAAAAAGTTTGGTGACCCCTGGTCTAAGAGATCCAGTTAGCTCAAATAGCTATCAAAATGCTACAATAAATATATTACGTAATTTAATAGCAGTGTTTTAAGATACTTTTAAATAATTCATTAGATTACATAAAGTGACACAAAAACAAAGCTAATCCTATCCGTGTAATTCCTTATAGCGGTTGACTTTTGTCTTTTTGTTTTATTCTAGTAAGTGATATAGTAAGTAAAAGTAGCCAGGCACAATATCCACGTTATATTATAAACTCGGCTTAATGCATTTGAGAAACGAAAAAATATCGTAGTTGACTCCTATTCTTTTGACTTAGATGCTGCTTCAACAACACACACAAAAAAGAATTTCATTTTGGTATTGTTGACGACAGTGTTACAAGATTCGTCTAATTACTTTTATAACCAATAAAGGCTGTATCTACAAGCCAACAATGGAGACTTTGCTACATTATCTGATCGTTCTTTTCGTCCTTCAACAAATTGTATTCCGAATTCATTTTATCTCCAGAATGTAGATTATTTTTTTTTATGTAATATGATGTCTGTGCATTCTAAAGTTGAATTTTGAAAGACTATTTTACTTTATTCTGTGATTTGGTCATTATTTTTTATAACAGCAACAAGAACAAAAACAATGGCCCAGTGTAAAAAGGAAACAACTTATAGGTGTGTTAGTATGAGCATACGTAGGTTCGCCATTCCAGCATTCTTGAACTAGTTTTTGGTTTCTAGATGATTATTTTTAAAGATTGTACAACTTCAAACCTATTACCTTTTGTGCAGCAGATCAGGTTTTATCATTTGGCGTATAGATAAAAGCTATAATGAGTCTCGATAGTTTATTTTGTTTTCTTAGCAATAAGGCAGAATTGCAAACTATAAATTAAGAAAACAAGAATATTCCGTTTCTTATGGAACTAATGATGTGATATTTTGAGTTTGTACTACAAATCCGACATGGTACATTAAGCCTACATCTGTACACTGAATTCTTTCGGTACTATGCAGGAGGCCCGGCATGGCCAGGTGGTTAGGACGTTCGACTCGCAATTTGAGGGTTGCGGGTTCGAATCCCCGTCACACCAAACATGTTCACCCTTTCAGCCGTAGGGGCGTTATAATGTGACGGTCAATACCACTATTCGTTGGTAAAAGAGTAGCTCAAGAGTTGGCGGTGGGTGGTGATGA